GACATAACTAATAGAAAAATAATAAATTCCTAATCTTGTAAATACTAAAGAATCAGTGCAACAAAAGAAACAAATAGAAAACTAAAAATCTAAACAATTAATTCTTTAAAGTATAGAACTACAAATCTTAACGGAAGAATTAAGATGAGAAATTCAGAAAAAAGTTTAAAACTTACTCTAAGGAATAAGGTCCGAACATGAAGAATAACTGCCGAGAGAATTGAGAGAATGAAACTATAAGGTGGCTTTATATATTTAGTGGGTAAAATTATAATTTTATTAGAGTTTATTGGGCTATCGGTTAAACCGTTAATAAAGTTGGGCAAACCGAGACCCGAATCGATAACTCAATAATCAAATAACATTAAACCGTTATCGAACTATTTACCAATCGTCCGATATCCATAATCCAATAGTATTTTATCGGTTCGAACTATCGATTATACCCGATATATACTTGCCCTAGATACTACGCTACTAGTGAGATTTGAACTGTCCATCTCAATTGTAGAATGTAGGGAGCTGGCCAAGTGAGTTAACCCTCGACCTTATAGGCTTTTACTTCTCTTTCTTTATCCCTTTTTTGGTTAAATTTGTCCTTTTCAATGTAGTTGTATGTGGTGAGTTGGAAAGGAAACGGATCATACACTTAAAGTCTCAAATATTCTCCTGAAGTGGATTAACTTTTGTCCAATTAAAATAGTTAATCAAGAAAGTGACATCATAATAGCAATTTATAGTTCTACCAAAGACTAACATATAAAATAAAACAAAAAAGAAAGAAACTTTAAATGGTAATACTTCTCGGTAGCTTCAGTTTTTAGTACTTTACTAGTAATGGATAGCCCATGTTCAGGGGCGGCCCAACTATATTTGGGGCCTAAAACAAACTTAAATGAGGGGCTCTAAGTTTTCGGTATTAAAAAACTCATTTAGTAAAATTTTATTTAAAGTTTATTTTTCTAGTTTTTGAGATGTAAAATTATTAATAATTTATTTATAATCGATTTTTTGACTAGGATTATATATGTTTCCACTTTCTAGGATTATTATTCAATTCTTTTAGGATTTCCTGATTTTCTAAAAAATCCGTGACTCACCAATTTCTTCTTCTTCTTCTTGGATTCCATTGTCTGTCTAACTCAACTATATTAGCGATGTGTTCATCTACCACAAAAATTTTCCTAATTTTTTATTTAAATTTTTTATTGTTCGCTAAAAATTTATCAAGCGCTCCTTTTTGGGATTGTATTAAAGTTCTAATTCTTCCATTTTTGGGCATTTTTAATACGCGAATTCATATTTTCTTATTGACATATTAAAATTCATTATAAATAAATAAAAAGATGATACATATACTTACAAACAAAAGATATCAAAAAATAGCAAATTCTAGATGCAAAGTAATAAGAAAAGTACGGAACAATTGAATCTGGTTTAACAAACAGTTATAGATAACTTGATATTACTTTTGTTGCTTTAATATTTTTGGTGCAATGCCGGAAAAGCTTGACAAAAAAGGGTTGCAATTGCCTTTTGCTATCTTACTTGAAGGAATGTTTTATGAGATAGTGGACTTGTAAAGAAAGACAAAGTAATCAAAGTATTATGAGCCTCATTGATAATGATGATAGTGTATAAAGGAGTCAAGAAACATATTCACACCTAAAGTTTAGGGCTGAATCCCAAAAGTAACTATTCATATTACCAAATTATCTCTTATTTCCTTTTTCATGAAAAATGCTTTTTTTTTTTTTTGATATATTAGATATTTTAAAAAAAAATTATCATATGCAGCTATTTAATATTAGAAAATTTTGGGCCCCCATAAATATGGGGCTTCAAGCGGTTGCTTAAGTTGCCTTACCATCGGGCCGTCCCTGCCCATGTTGTGCATGGACCCCATAATACTATTACCTAAATATTAGTACCGTAAAGATGTGTATGGTAGAGTTATATCGATCTCCAAAGGATACTAAAGTTATTCTTAAAACACCTAAAGTCATTACAAAATTATAATTTTATTGGTCTCAACTATTACTTGAAAATTAAAATTTAAAAGGAGCGTGTTTGATGATCATGTTGTGCGAATTACCAGGAGTTATAAAAAATTTATTTAACTTATAAACATTAACAATCTTTTTTTGTTGCAATGTCAAGTTATCAAATGCAACTAAAATTAGGTTCACATTTAGTATTACCTCTTGTCTAAAATAAATATTTTTTAATTTTTTTTTATGCACATTAAGGAAATCATATAAAATATTTATTATAATATTTATTTGATTAATTTATGCTTTATATCATAGTCAACTTACTCATTATATTCTGTAGGTAATTTATTAGATCGAAAATAGATTTGAAAAAACAGACTAATGTTATTTTAATTTTCCAAAACAACGTTTATTTTGGCCAAATATATTTAGCTAAAATGACATTTATTTTTAAGGGAAGGAAGGGGATATAACCTAATTAAAATTATTTACATGTGAAATAAGGAAAATAACATTGTAGAAGATGAGGGTTATTGTTTGTCGGTTTTACGTCAAATTGAACTCTATTTTACTCAGGAAAATTGTTTACTCAAAGAAGGATTTTAGTGTTATTTTTATAAGATTATAGAGATGCATATACTAAAGTTAGATGATTTTAGATTCAATTATAGATTATGAAATTTCATACTACTACTACTACTACTTTATAGGAAATAAAACTCTTAAAATTTGCATGATGAGAAGAAATTTACGTGTAAAAAGAGAACTTTTGAGAGCATAGGTGTCCGACTAATTATCTGTACAAATATTAACTATACATTTAAGTTAATATAGATCAATTAAAGCATATTCTTTGTGTGTGAAATTATGAGATTAATAGCATATAAAGTACCACTTATTAGCCATGGATTTTTTTTTTTTTTTTTTTTTTTTTTTTTG